GATGCTAAGGAGGTAGCTAATGACACGGCAGCCAAGGAGGCGCCAGCAGCTGATGCCGCGGCACCCAAAGAGGAGGAAAAGAACGCAGCTCCTGCCGCAAAGGAGGCAGAGAAACCTGCCGCCAACGCTGAGCCCAAAACGGAGGCGCCCAAGAGCGCAGAGCCCGCCAAGGCCGAGGAGAAACCAGCCGCCCCGGCCAAAGAATCGGCCCCGGCCGCGAAGGAAGCCGAGGCTAAGGCCGCGGCGCCCACCCCTGCAGCCGAGAGCAAAGATGAGGCCGACGCCAAAAAGACTGAGGCCCCTGCGGCACCAGCAGCCAAAGCCGAAGCGGCCCCCGCTGCCTCCCCCGACCCCAAGCCTACAGAGGCAGCGGCAGCTCCCGCCCCGGCAAAGGAGGCCACCCCTGCTCCTAGTTCAACACCAGCCGCCGAACCTCCCAAGGAGGCAAACGCCACAGAGGCACCAAGCAAGGATCAAACCGTAGCAGTTCAAGATTAATGGACAGCCACTTTTCGGAAATGAAGAAATAAATTACCTAACTCAACAACGATGAAGATTAAAAAAGAAAGAAATTTACTAGTCCACCCATATTATGATAATAACAATAATAATAATAATTGTAACGATGAAGATATGTTGATCGAGGAGGACTGAAGCAACCACCTGGAGAAGTTTCCCACCGCTGCAGATGATTATTGCTATTATTATTGTTATGTTTTATTCTATTTTTTTTCTGCTGTAGTATTTGAACTTTGATACGAGTGTATGTCGGCCATACGCCTCGCCATTTATCCGCCATTCCTCTCGCTCATACAGTCCCACAAAGTTTGGCCTGATTCCCACGTCAGCCCACAGAAGGCTCCTGCATTCGATCTGTGGACGTCTAAATTTTGGGGTTCTGATGGAGGGAAGGGGAGAGGTTAAGAAAACACCTTACCAGCTGGACTCAAGTCGAATCGGTCCCCTCTTCGGCTCTCCCTCTTCCTCTCATCCTCCTCGTCAGAATATCGTGATTTTGGCTCTGGCCTGGTACCTCCAGCTTTTCAGTGCTGTGGAGTCGTGGTTGTGGTCGTGCGTGATTGTGCGTGGTATTGTCGGGTTGTGTTGCTTCCTATTTTTCTCTCTAAAAAGATCCCACTTCCTTTGAAGAGCTTTTACTTGGAGATTCATTGCGAGGACTGGGAATTTTCAGGCTTTCTAAGGCATTTCGCAAGGTTGGTAAAGGTGGGCTTTGCAGAGAAAAAAAAACAACATTAGACATTAAACAGTTGTAGGATTTTTCAGATAAACTTCTACATTTTGTACTGAAACCCTTAGCTATATTGTTAGTAAACTAAGTGGGTTTTTTAACATTTGTATTGCTTAGATAATCTGCAAAGCCTCGCCGAAAAGATCTCTAAAATGTTCTTAGAAAGTTCAACGCAAACCTCTCGTCCTCGAGCAAAATCCGAAGACAAATTAGAGTAAAAATTATCTACGTTTTTTTTGTTTGTTTGAAAAGACATATCTTTTGCTGACCCGGGTGAAGTAGACAGCACGGTCACATCTTAGAGGTTGTTTGAACTTGCTTAAAATACCAAGAAGGTGATGTTTGCTCCTTCATGGGTAGAGCTCAGTTAGCGAATGCTCAGTTGTGCCTTTGTAACCTAAATAGACAAGACTGGCACTCAAACATCCTGCGATTGTCTGGAACACAAATCATTTCCTTAGCGAAAGTAAAAGGGCGTTTGAGACACACTTTCGATTCAAGTATTAGCAGCACAAAACGTTTCTGAGAGGAAAAAGTCAACAGTGGATTCTTTTACTTTGAAATAAAAATTGTTACATGCTCACATACAATCTCCTGACACGGAAATTTCAACAGTTGAAAAAGACACTACCCAACTAGTAGAGCCGTTTCATATTCAATATTCAAGTTTAAAACCTTACAGCACTAAAGCAGTCTGCCCTGTTGAGCAAACCTCACCCTTTTGGTATCAAAGCAGTGAAAAGGCCTTAAGCGAAGGCGCTCACAATGCTGTTTGACCCAGGTCTGATTTACTGGGTTTCGAATCAGTGTAGCTTTCCACCACTAACAGTCCGATACCACTGAAGAACAGGCAGGAGGCAGGATTTCAGCAAACGATCAGAGCCATCAGCAACCAATTCAGTGTGATATGGTCCATGTTTCTAAGGCTGGATGGAAGGGAGCCTCTGATTTAGTCATTATCGCCATTCGTGCATTTTCCTTTACTGTTTGGAAATATAGGTTACATGTATGTACATCTGTGCAGTGGTGGAAGGAAAAGTACTAAAGTACACCTTTGATACATTAAAAACTAGCAATATTGATAGATGTCTCCACCCAAATTTATTTTTACTGTAAACACCAAGCACACTTTTGAAAACGCCCAGCTTCCACCGCTTGAGGAACTTTTTTTAAAAGCCAAAACACTTTGAAAGAATCATGACGATATCTTTGGTCGTGACAGTGGAGTCCTGCAAACGAAAATAGCTTGGGACTAAATATCCACGGCAAAACATTAGGATTCCAGCAAAGGAGAGACTTGGGTTGAGTTGGGGATGGACGATGTAGCATAGAAGAAAGTAGAAGAGACATAAATGGCATGTGATCCAGTGGGTATGCCAACAACAGTATCTTGCATCAAATATGACGTCTTACCCAAGTGTATTAGAACCACATTGCACAGTGTGGCTCAAATTGCGTGTATGGAGACCTTTAAGGGTTTTTAGTGGGAGTAATCTTGCACAGAGAGCAGTTGTGATATTGACTCCATTGTTGGTTTTTCAGTCGTGTTCATCACTTGTGCGAGTAGGACGTGGCGGTCGTTCGGCATGGTGTTAACTCCACCCATCCTCCGCTACTAATGAATGAAGTTAAGGTGACATTACAGTGTTTTACAGAGCTGAGCATCCTTAAAATCTCAGCAACCAGCAAAAACCAGCCCATCAGATTCACACATGTGCACCAGGTTTACGGTGATACTGAGACAGTTCTAACCGACCCCATAGCATCACTTTTAAATGCATTGGTTAAGACTAACCCAAATCTCTGTCTTGTACTAAACCTGCGTGCATGTGCGTCATGCTGCTTGTGTCTTTAGCACAGTGCAGTTATGCAGCACTCTCAGTGCAAACAAGTGAAAATAGAGTACCAGGAAAAACAAAGGAGGGATTTTTATCATTGATACTACAGTAGAAACATTTTGATGATTATCATAAAAGGAAGAGATGACAGTGAAAGAAAACCAGCAGGACACATGGAAGGAAGAACGTGAAGGACAAGAAAGCTCAGATTTTAGATTGTACTTCATGATGAACACAGTGGAGGAAGTAGTACGACTTTATTGAGCTACATGCTTTTGCACAAAACAGTCAAGTAAGGTACCAGCAACCCAAAATTGTGCTTGGCTTATTCAAACCAACATTCGTCTTTCCACCTTTGCATGTATGTAAGTATATGTATATATATATTTAGCCATCTCAGCCATCCATCTGCCACTTTTCAGTTCCGTCCATGTGACGCTCAGCGTTTTCCTCCCAGCACTCGTCAAACCGTAGCAGAAACAAACACTCGAGGAGCGCCGCTTGTCACTTGGCTCAGTTTTTTCTTCCTCTCTTGACTCAGTAACTTGCATGTCCGTGGTTGGGTGAACCTGTAGTCCTGTCTTTTTGGTCAAGTGGAAAAAATAATAATTTTTCGGTCTGCATCCATGGCAACTACAGTTGATATTTTCATCCCATGTTTCATCACTGCTACTTCCGCACCACACGTTCAGACAAACAAACAAAAAGATGATATGGAAATTGATGCATTCAAAATTATATGTACTTGTATAAATGGTGGAACAGTAATAAAATGTACGAAATTGACTCGAGGATTCTGTGCAATGCGATTTTTTTTCAGATGCACTCCGGACACATCGGAGTCACACCTGCCAATGAGGCCGATATGTTATTGTTACATCGTAGCATTTGAACAAACAATTTAATGCAGCGTTAGGACTATTGTAGAAGAAGAAATTAAAAAGTGAAAGTACATTTGTGAATGTGATAAAAGGGTCAGTTAAGCCATATTTCATTGTTCGACTGACAGAGTATCTTAATAATGATTCGAAAGTAGAAAGTAACACTGATTCTACGTCTTTAGGTTTTATAGGTTGGAAATTACATCAGGTATCTCTGTGATGCAATC